TTGTAAGTAAGTAAAGAAACAAGGAGAGTTAATCTGAGTACGGCGAGTGAGTTGGCGGTAGCAAGACCAAGGTCGTTGTGACAATGAATGCCGAAGACAACGTTTTCCATTCCAGGAGTGTTTGCTAAGACATAGCTCACGAGTTTTTCGAGTTCTTGCGGCATGTTGATCCCTACTGTGTCCGCGATTGTCACTGTGGTTGCACCCGCTTTTATCACTTCTCCTAGAACCTTGCATATAAACTCCTTCTCCGACCTGCTTTATTTTAATCACACACTAGTATTACAAAAATTTACGTATGAATGACATGATAAATAATATCTAAAGGTCATTATATTGTCTCACAAAATCAATACCATTATCTAGCAGTTGCTAAAAACGCTTTAGATTATGAAATAATTGTTGGACATGTTAAAATTTTTTCTGTTTTTTTATAACCGGGGTATCCCGAACGGAAATAAAGGCTATCTCCAAAATGCCATCATCTATGAAAAAACTGTGTAGTTTGCTATTTAAAGTGTTCATACTTCTTAGTCGTCGACCATGATTGAAATCAAAGTAAAAAAATCGAACTTTGGTCCCAAAACCCTTCAACCACTTAACCACCATGAGTTAGTTGAAAAAGTTTTAAATTTAAGTAGGAAAATACATTTTTAATTAGTTTTTGTTATGAAATATTTTTGCCAAATTACAACAAACAATCGAGATATGTTAAGGTTTTAAGATATGGACCTGCCGCCATCTTCGCAACCAAATTGGACGTCTTTGAAGCCTAAGCTCTTAGCAAACCTAACACTACTAGCAGCCATCTCGATGACTTCTTCCTTAGTCTTTTTTAACTTATATTTCATGTGAATGTCACTAGTAGATGTGAATACTAGTATTTTCGGCCTCTTCGCATACTTCACTGACTCCCAAGCTATCTCAATGTCTCTTTGTTTGCTTCTTGCAAGGACGCATATAATCGGTACATAACCTGTTTCCTCATCCACCTAAGCAAAACACAAGATAGTTGTTTACATGGTTAACTATATTTTTATGTAGTCTATTTAACTATATAGTGTGCATATAAAAATCTTTAAATTATAAAGTGAAGGAAATAAAGAAACAACCTCGTTCCCCACGGTCTTGGCAATGGTTTTAACGGTTTCGAACTCTTCCTCAGATGACGCCGGAAAACCAACTTCCATGACATCTACTCGGAGTTTAGCGAGCTGCCGAGCAATCTCTAGCTTCTGCGGTGGAGTAAGGGCACCACCGGGAGATTGTTCACCGTCACGGAGCGTCGTGTCCAATACACGAACATATTTCTTGTCCGGAAGCTTGTTGGGAATATACTCCGGCCACCGTTCCACGACGGGTTTGATGTCAGTAGCACTAGTCGCCACCTTCGTGGTCGACACAGATAAGCAACAGGAGATGAATAAAGACTGCTTGTTGTACGGACGGATCAGTCGGAGAGATCTAACGGGTAGCATTGACAGTACAACAACGGTGGAACCGGTGGTGGAGATCATACCGGAAGATGTCAGAAGTGACGAAGCCATCTATGAGAGAAAGAGAGAGGATATCTATTTAGAGGATAGATAGTGAGGAAATTGTTTTGCAATGAGATGGAGAACATGTACAATATCTATCTATATTTTATAGGTAAGAAAAAATTAATGAACTTCTTTATATGATTATAAACGTTTGATTTAATGGAGTCATGGACTTTCTATAAATTATCGATATCTAAATTGTTAGTATTAACTATTAACCATCAGTCAACGAGGACATGCAAATCACGTGTTATGCACCTCCAGGTAGGTGACAGATCACAAATACTATTCTTTGTGCAGAAGAACACAAACTAGGAATCTGAAAATGTTGTTGACTACACCTAAAGTGAGAAACGCCTGAGAAGCAAGGTTATAATGGGAGTTCTAATAATTATTTCTTTCGAAAATAGAACAAAAAGGTACAATTAGCTAGTTTCTTCTTGTTTCAAACAATAAAAAAATTAGCTAGTTCTTCTATTTCTCTTTTCTTCCTCAGGTGCAATTCTTATTTTAATACATTTGTTGGAGGTGATTTTTTGGTTACCAATCAATATGTGGATAAAATTACGTTGGAATTGCGCTAAACCATATCGACAAAATATTCGGCTTACCAAAAAAAAACATTACGCGGTAGATTCTATCGGCTTAATCCGCATATATAATAGTTCTTTCGAAAACCAAATTTCATGATTACCTCTCGGTGTTTTTTTTTGTTTGGCAACAAATTATTCTCATTGATACTTAATCAGTAAACATACAAAATTGCAGAGTACAACAATTGAAAGCAATAAACACATAGAAAAGAATAAAAATGAGACTAAAAAACAACGAATTCAAAGGAGATCCCGGATGCGTCACGATAGACTTCAAGAGATAGGTTAAACGGTTTAAATCGTAGACAAAAACCTGAAACTTCTTAAAAAGGGCTTCAAAATCGATTGCAAGCAAATCGATCTCCAATTCTTCTACCATCATCGGCAAAAGAACATCAATAGCTGCCGTAAAGGCTGAACTTTTGTGAACACACTTCAAAGAAGTGGTTGTGATAGGTCTCTCCTTGACGGAGGAACTTATATAGCCATAACCGAGTTTAAGCAAACTCGTTACGGGACAGCAAATACAACTCCGGACTAACATCATCATGAAAACGACGGGAAGACATTGTCCCGTTGTCCCTTCGCCGGCGAGGAATAGGACTAGAAATTCTGTTACATACACCTTGAAAGGTAGTAGTTTCTCCCAGAATAAGGAGTAGAGTTTGACATGTCTATCTCCAGAGAAAGACAGTGGTAAGGATCTCTCCCATAGGAAGAAAATTAACTTGCAAGAAGCAGTAGATAGTACATCAGAATCGACCAAGCTAATAAATATGTGTATCAAGTCAGCGAACCCTGACCCAAATTTAAATCTTCTTAACATTGGCCTAGCCCAATTACGAAAAGGCCAATGGGCCAAGCCCAACCGAATCTGTTTAAGCCCAAGTTTAGGATTAATCGGATTTACCTCACTGGTCGAAACACGATGGAGGCAGGTCGGTACCGGAGGAGTCTCCCACGGTGGCCAGGTCCGGTTGAAGCCCAATTGTGGCCATCAACTTCGTAAAGACTCGGCAAAGCAACACGGGCAAATCAAGGCTCGGTTTTTGGACGCGGTGTGTTGAGATCATAGTCGGATCCGGAGAGACGCGACAATCCGGCGGGTCGGGGGGGTCGGACGGTTCCGGAGGCTTCGACTGCCGAGTTGCAATCGACGCGGGGTCTGGCCAAGGTAAAAAGGTCAGTAGTTGTACTGACATCTCCGACATCGACATTGTCCCGATCGGAACTTGGGTGCGTCTAAATCGGAGATGCAGAGAGTTCTTCTCTGTTTTGCGAGATTCTCGCCGGAGGGATCGCCACACAGTTCTGAGCTACACTTGCGCTTGCCCATTTCCGGTTCGGCGACGGTGGTCTCAGATGAGTCCATAGAGCAGGGAATGAAGCCATGGAAGAGGTTGACGCTGGCTGAGAGAGAGATAACCTCTCGGTGTTTTGGCAAGTAAATTATTGTCTGGCCACTTAAAATTAACATTACATTTAATTCATGTATAACAAGTAGGAAAATTAGCATAAATAACCTTTAAAAAAAACTATAATATAAAATTTAGGATTAATTAGTGAAATAACATATTTGAGCATGTGAATTAGTTAAGTAACATGTGCAGATTTTAAATTTGTTAACTAAAATAGAGAAATAAAATGAGACTATTTAACCCTTTATAACATTCTATGAAAATTATCACATTTAATGTATATTTAATGAAAATTTGTTTTGTAATAAAATGAAAAATATCATTATTTTTCTAGATATAAACTTTAAGTTGACATATATAAAAGTATTTTTCTATATTTTACGTTTTTCAAAAAAACGATGTTTCTTTAAGTGAAATAATAATTGATTCTTATTTAAATAGATAAACTATATAGTGAACTATATCACAAATTAATTAAAAAAATAGTGAATTTTATTTTAATATAATTAACTACATGTTTGATATAGTGAATTATTTAATTATATAAATAATAGTGAACTATTTGTGAATATAACAAGTATAACTGATTTTCTGTGAATAAAATTACTATATAGATAACTATTTATTTATATATAACCAAGTACACATGGATATATAACCAACTACATAAAGAAACATGGATAGAGCCCAATTTCTCTAAAATCTAACCAAAATCTACTTTTTTCTCTCTCTATTTGTTCCTATCTCCCTCTACCCATTTGGTGAGATTTTATATT